TGCGGCGGGCGCTGGGGAGCAGCGCGGGCCGGGAGGCAGCCCGGTGTGAGGCGCTGGGCCCGGGGTGTCCCGGAGGGCTCGCCCGCCCGGTTCGGCGCGGTCCGGTCCGGTCCGGTCCGGTCCGGGGCTGCTGTCCACCTCCTTACGGCCTTCGCTTCGGGAAAGCTGTGGTGTGTGGGCCCAGCGCAGACCAGCCTCCCCCTTCTCCTGCTGTCGTGGGGCGTAGGGGCTGCCTTGGCAGCCGTGCTGGCCTGCGAGAGGGGTGCTGGCGCCGGCCCTGGGCGAGCGGCCACGGGGTAATACAGCCTGGGAACGGAAGGCAGGCTTCCCGCGACGGGAATGTAAAAAGGTTCTCTCAGCACTACAGCGGCTTTCCGGCGTAAGGGTGTGGGCCTGGGGTAGCCGAGGGCCTGTGCCGGCACTGTTCTGGCCGGAGCTGGGGGCCTGTCTGTCTTTCTGTCCTTTCCCCAAGCCTCAAAAAAAAGTAGACTTCATATAACAGCTACTGTTTTATGTAGACTACATATAACAGCTCAAGTGTATGCAATTATTCTAATGTGAACATCATACACTGGTATTTGTGAGACGGACTTGGCATCATCCAAGGACTTCTGTACAGCTGTGACTCCTGAGTCTGTGCCACTTAATTCATAGAAATAGTGTTAAAAAGGTGCAAATGTTTATGTCAAAGCCGATAGCTTTTGTGTTTTGTTTCACTTTTGGACGCTTCTGATGTGGTGTAATTTCTCAAGACAATTAAGCGACAAAATCCTGTCAGGGGTCTTGCATACTTAATAACTTAAGCGAGGAAATCCTGTCAGGGGTCTTGCATACTTAATAACTAAAAGTGTCCTTTCACAGGAAAAAAAAAATTGTTCTCGGAACTTGTTGGAATTTAGGATTTCTATTTGAACACTTCATGCTCTTACTTCAGCAGTGTACATCAACAGTGTATACAGTAGGGTGGGAATAAATGTAAACTGCTGACGTTTTCTACTTCAGGGTGGCTACTATTTGTTCCAGTTCTTAATTGCAAGGAAGAAATGGTGTCTGGAGCAAGCAGAGAGTCCATTCTTTATGCAGTGTTGTGACTTGGTTTCTGACTTATCTCATTGTAGGTGAACGAATTAAAAAGCCAGTTCCTCTTCAAGAACAGACTGTTAAAGATGCAAAGGGACGATATCAGCGTTTCCATGGAGCATTTACTGGTGGTTTCTCTGCTGGTTACTTTAACACTGTTGGCACAAAGGAAGGTTAGATATTTTTCTGTCTTCTGGGAAGGGTTAATTAATTATCATAATTTAATGTTAGTGAAAATAAATTAACTGTCATTAAGCATTTTTTTTTCTGCTGTTCATTATACTGTAAATAGTTGAAATGGTACTGTTGAAGTTATTTCCCCTTGAGCTTTTGGACTGCAGTTTTATAGATGTTCCCTTGATGTATCCTTAAGGTGTAAGGTTGAAATGTTTGAATTGTTTTCAAATATTATGTTGCAGTTCACAGTACTTTACTTAGATATTTACTTTCTTTAAAGGATGGACTCCTTCAGCTTTTGTATCATCACGGCAGAAGAGAGCAGACAGAACCATTCTTGGACCAGAAGACTTCATGGATGAAGAGGTAAATTTAGAAAGGAATACAAATCTTTTGGAAGTAGTTGCCATGACAGCAGGTTTTTCAGGCAATGAAATCTTCTAAAGAACTTAAACCGCGAAAATGGACGTAACTTTAAAATTACTTTTTGTATGCAGTGTTATACTGCTAGGTCCCATAGGATGTTTCGTAGATTCACTTAGGAAGCTCCTGTAATCTCAATATTAAAAAAACCCCAGAACTTAACCCTTTCACTTTCTGTATCAGAAAATACAAATACTTTTGAAGCTGTTTAAAATATGACCATTCAAGTTATTGAAAAAACAACTGTATAAATGGCTTGAAAAATGTAGCTAATATGAAGGTCATATGGTCATAGCCTGTTTTCTTTCCTTTACCATTACAGTAAGTAAGCATTTGAAGGAAACATATTTTTAATCTAATTCTTTCCATTTTGTCTATATTTTCCAGGATCTTAGTGAATTTGGGATAGCACCAAAAGATATTACAACCACAGATGATTTTGCATCCAAAGCTAAAGACAGAATAAAAGAGAAAGCTAGACAGATTGCAGGAGTAGTTGCTGCCATTCCAGGAACCACCGCATTTGATGATTTAATAGGACCATCAAAGTAAGTAAATTTAAATAAAAGTTAACCAAGCAATTCCTTTCACTTAGAAGTGTTGTATTGGTTAGAAAAGTAATGTTTGACCACAGTAATCCATGAAAGAGACTGGAAGATCCATAGTGTTACACTTTGTAAGTGGCCTCCACCTGGATTTTTGTTTCCTATGTGCAGACTTGTACCAGGTAGACATTTACAAACTGGGATGTAGTGTATATGCAAATGTTGATACATTCAGATTTTATTTTAAAGTGGGGTATAAAAACATAATTTTGAATGGTATATATGTATATTATTTCTCATTAAAAATGTGGTTTGAGGTAATTTTTTTTTCCTTTTGTATTCTTCTTAGAATAACAGTTGGGGTTGAACTGTTACGAAAAATGGGCTGGAAAGAAGGACAAGGAATTGGACCGCGAGTCAAAAGAAAGCCACGCAGGCAAAAACCTGGTAAGTTCCGTGAAATTCTGAACTCTATTAATAGAAAGTTAGCATTCATAGACTGATTAGAAACTTCCTTTTAAAACTTCCTTTTATTTGGTCCATTTCTTTAATCTTAGAGAAACTTAATAAAGAATTGTAATTTAATATGATGCTATTGTGTCTCTCACAGACCCTGCAGTGAAAGTATATGGTTGTGCGTTACCACCTGGACTGTCTGAGGGTTCTGAGGTATTGAACAGGCAAAAGTTTTGTTGACTTATGTAAGAATGTGTGTTAACACGTTTTAAAAAAAAAAAAAAAGTTCTTTGATGTCTTTGAACAGTATTTTAACATGCAGTTCCAAGTTTTGTTAAAAGTATTCTTTTAACTACTTAATACTACTTACTATGCTTATCGTGAAGAAAGGTTTTAATGTAACTAAATTTATTCTTTTGCTACCTAAGCAGGTGTAGTTCATACATATTTTCATACATAATTTAGGAAATGCAAACTTACCTAGTCTCATGTTAACTAAATGTTGTAAAAGCTCAACTTACAAAGCTTCGAGTCATATTTGCTCTTACATACTTTTATTTTGTACAAGGATGAAGAGGATGAATACCAGCCAGAGAATGTGACATTTGCACCAAAAGACGTAATGCCTGTAGATTTGACTCCAAAAGAGAATGTCCATGGACTTGGCTATAAGGGTTTGGACCCCTCACAAGCTTTGTTTGGTGTATCTGGAAGAGAACACTTGAATCTTTTCACAGGTGGTTCTGAAGACACAAGCAATTTACTTGGTGATCTGAGACACAGTAAAGGAAGAAAACTAGGTATAACGGGTCAGGTAAGGACATTTTAGAATCCATTTTACTGTTAGTGCAGTAGAATCTAAATAAACTTTGTTTTTTCTTCTGTGGAAGGCACCTAGTCATTGTAGGGTTATTGTAAGAAATCTTATGTGTGCTTTGAGAACAGGATTTTTTTTTGTTTTTTACTTCAGAGGAAGATGTGGGCAAATCGTTAGAACTCTTAAATGCGTTCATTTATCGGTATTGTTGAAGAGAACTATAAAATACCTCACTCTGAATAGTTGGGTGGAGGAAATTCTTGTGTGACTTTGATTAGAGAAAGTTAATATTCAGTATGTTTTTTGTTTACATTTCTTTTGTCAATTTTACTTTCAGTAATGTTGAATCTGTCAGCTAGAGAGGTTTTGCTTCCCTCCATGGTATTTGTAGTTCTTATGTAGAAGCACTGTCAATTTATATTTCTGAGAATTATACTTTTTTAATTTTCATGCCAACTTACTTTTTTTTTTTCCTTTTGAGAACTTAACCTGCTCTTAGACTGTAAATGTTACCTTGTGGAATTAGGCTGCTGTCCTCATCCTGTACAGACCAAACTCACTGTCCCTCCCTGCCAAGGGAAGTGGAATATGTTTGCTTTTGTGTTCAGTTAGGGTTTTTGTTTTTTTTTTTTTTCCACTAGCTGGTAGCAGGTTTTTTTGTGAAGCTGTACATCTTTTCCAGTGTATATATATGTATACTGGACATCTTATATAATATAGATGGATAGATGTACATGTAGATATGTTCTGATATGTGACTTAAAAGTATTATTTTTACACTTTTGAATTCTCATTATTTTTATTTAAAATATATTTTAGGCTTTTGGTGTGGGAGCTTTAGAGGAGGAAGACGATGATATTTATGCAACCGAAACACTGTCAAAATACGATACAGTTCTAAAAGATGAGGAACCTGGAGATGGCTTGTATGGCTGGACAGCACCTAAGCAGTATAAATCCAAAAAAAGTAAGAACTGTAGTTCTATCTAAAGAGCTAGTGTAATTTGTATTTGGAGAAAAAAAAAAAATGACATAAGTGTAGCCTCTATTTTCCAAATATTTCAATTTTCAGTGGACTGGTATCTTCTAGTCCTGATATCTGAAACTTCATCTAGTCTTCCTTCTGTATTGAAGTGTCCAAATCTGGAAATAATTTCCAAAGTCTTCCACTAATCCCAATGTAGATTAAACGCCCAAATTACATTTTTAAAAGGACAATATGTGCTGCTTTGTGAGATACAGCATTTAATTACAATGAAGAAAACAAATGATTGTGAATCATGGCTACAAAATGAGACCCAATACTTGCGAAGAGATTTTTTTTTTTTTAAGATATACTTGTGTATTTTCAAATAACATTTGTAAATTTTATCTTGATACCACTTTATTTTTAGTGCAACTGTTAAGTACATGAAATACTGTAGTGATTTCTAGAGTACCTGTTGACGTTAGTTGTACACAATGGCACTTGTGACGTTAGCTATGCACGGTAGTGATACTGTTGCCTCACTATTAGCCATGTTCATCTTACAGCAATCTCTCTGGTAGTAGTTTTTTAGCTGTATAATACTAATCCAGATTCAGAACCCTTAATTTTAAATGAAAGGCAGTGAAGACAAAAAACTACAGTTATGCTCCATAAAATATATTGAAAAATGGAAAATATTCAGAAAAAATGCTTTTTGCCAAACATACATGTTTTAAGTATTGACCAACTCTATGGTCATTTTGTAGGGTCTGAAAGAGAAGTTAAATATATAGGCAAAATCCTGGATGGTTTTTCCTTGGCATCAAAATCATCAACTCCAAGCAAGGTAAGCAGATACTGATATTTTTGTATTAAGAATAACATTAGCAAATTGACATGTGAGCTGTATGGACTTTACTGTTGCTCAACATCTTTTATGTTCTTAGAAATAAGTGGTGTGCATGTTTTCCTATTTCTCATAATTGTTACATATTAACAATATCACAGCTTGTTCCCGAAGTTTGTATTACGATGCCACTTACTGACTGGGTCTAAAAGAATCAGTAGTGTGTAATACCTGTTTCTACTGCTAAGATGTAAATTGAGGAGTTTTTAGATTGAGGCGACTTTTTCTGAAACACATTTGTAAGTCCTAAATGTAAAGTTGTATCTCTTTCTGAAACACATTTGTAAGTGCTAAATACAAAGTTGTATCTCTCTCTTAGTGGATTTTTGTTTTGTCATCCCCCCGCCAAGATTTATCCACCACCTGACCTGCCACGAAATTACAGACCAGTCCATTACTTTCGACCCGTGATAGCAGCTGGGAATGAAAACTGCTGTTTACGGAAGGCATTAGAAGAATCAACTGGAAAAATTGGGAGTGATACAACACAACAAAGCAGGCATGCTTTGAATGCATCTCAGAGGAGGGAACGACTAGGAGAGACTGGTCTAAAAGGTATTGATATATGTGACCACACCTTGGCTTGTGTTTTAGGTCCCCTGTTTGTTTATATAACAGTAAAAATTTGGTCTAGTCTTGAACACTACTTTCTCATGTAAACATACTAAATCTAGTTGGCTTAGCTAGAATACCTTATTGTTCAGTTTCATCTCAGCAGATGAATTGTTGACATATCTGCCTGCGTTTTCATTTACTTAACTCTTTTAAAGATGAAAAGTATGTGGGATTGTGTGGGGGTGTGTGGTTGGTTTGTGTTTTTTTTTTTTTTGTGGCCTTACGAATTCAGAATATAGTAGGCTGTGAAGATTCTCCCCCCCCCCCCCCTCCCCCCCCCCAGTAAAGTGAGGTTTCACTGAAATACATGCAGATTCACTAAAAAGGTAATTTGTAAATGTGGTTCGCATTTATATCTACAATAGTAAAATCTACAAAGTAATATGTAAATATGTGGTAAATAGCATAAAAGGTGCAATAGTGGCCAATTTTTTTATCTACCATCTCTGCCATTATACTGTTTATTGCTGCTTAAGAGTGTTTTCTCTGAATGTATATGCATAGTGGTAGGCTTTTTTCTTCCGCTAAAGTGGCAGAAATAGTTGTAGTAATTTTTCATTTCTATTTATCTCTTACTGCTTTTTCTGTTTTTAGGTCCGGCTCCTTCTGTTTTGGAATATCTGTCTGAGAAAGATAGAGAAAGACTCAAAGAAGTGAAACAAGCATCTGAACAACAAATGAAAGCAAAAACATTGCCTCAGCAGTCACGAAATAGCAGATTCCAGCCAGCCTCCCCAGATGATGCTTCTCACAAATGGCAAATGTTGTTGGGGGGGCAGTTAGCAAATGCTGGTTCTAGTGACTTCAAACCATTTGCAAGAAATCCAGAAAAACAAAAAAGATACGAAAGTTTTGTGAGAAGTCTTAAACAAGGAGAAAAAGGTAACTGAAGAGATTAATCCTGACATCTTAATTTTTCTCTGAAAAAATATTTCTTGATTCCCCCCTCCCTCCCCGCCTTTTCTTTTTTCCCCTTTTTTGTCCTGACGCATTTTATGTTCGCTATGAGTTCTCCTCCTGAATTCCACAGCATTTCTCCCTCTACTTCTTAGGGCCAATATTAAAAGAAATTTTTACTGATATTTAATTGTGTTGACTTCAGGAACACAGCTCAGTAATTTACATGTCAGCGAGACTTTATTTTAGGCATTACATTTCATACTTTTATGCTGTAGCAGAAGTGTTCTCCAGGATGTTCTACTTAATTGCATGTACTTCTGGGTTTTCCTTCTTTCGTTTGCCAAAGTAGATTTCAGCTTTGGCCAGTACCACAAGCATTGTGGTACTGGCATTTTCATTTAGTTTGTTTCTCTTTGAGGAGTAAAACTGACATATCCTAAAAATGCAGAAAGATTATCGGGTCACAGTAGAACGGCAATTTTTTTCCTTTTCCCACACAAGATGGGAAAAATGAAAAGAAAACCCATACCCTGCACTTCCAGAGGAGATAAGAACCCTGAAGTGAATGAAGTAGTTCACGCTTGTCAAAGCTTGTATTGCATGTCCTTTGGATACTCAAACTGCCACTGTTACTTAAGTTCTTCTCAGAAAAAATAGTGGCTGTAAAATCATAGCATACATGCAGAGCTCTTTGTTGCTCAAAACCAAAAAAACCCAGCCCCCTTCACCTGCTCTTTTCGTGTTCTTTCAGTCTCCTTCCATTTTGTTTAGGTTTTTGCTATTAAATGATACCGTGGTGTATCTTACGTTAAACCAGGTACTTACGATGCTTTGTGGTGAGTTCCCCAGTGCTGTGATTTTTCTGTAAGGCATAAAAGCTGAAATCTGATCTAGGGAGATCAGCAGCAGCAGCAGGTGAATCTAGATTGTCTTAAAATAAAAAAAAAGGGTTGGTTTATTTTTAAATTTCAAAGTGCAAAGAAGATATTGGGGAAGAAGAAAAAGGGTACCAGTAATGTTTTGCAGAGGAAAGTGTATAGTGTCAGGTAGAAAACCTGGTTTTGTTATTTTAGAATTTTTTTTAAAATAATGCTTTTCATTATAAGAAAAAATATTTCCTGGTCAGTAGCCTCTTGTGGTTACCGCATTGGGACAGACTACTTGAGCTTTGAACCCATAGTTCCTCCATTCAGGACTGCGTTTTTCCCTGTGTAAAATTGAGTATCCTCTTATGACTGTAAGTGCCTCCTTAGTCAAAATGATGAAAATGCAGAAATATTTAAATAACTTGAATGATTAAGACT